CTCTGCCAAATTGGACCGACAAACTTAACTGCAATCTGGGTTCAGTGAACCCTTTAACAATCAAATAAAAACCAAACCTCAAATGGCCACATTAGGCTTAGCTAATATCGCTTTTCTTCAGACAATAAAAACCGAATGGCCCCGAGCCATGAACGAATCACGATCATTGATCAACCGAAAATCCAAGACCCCAACTCGCACACAATTTGGTAGCCTTATATGGCAGATATCCAAAAAAGCAGTCGGCAAAAAATAGATGAATAAATAAAGGCGACATTTTGTGGCAACTGCTAATATCAATACGGATATATAGACCCATAGCTATTGCCATTGTTGTTGCTATGGTTGGCTAGGGGTTTCCATTGAAAAGTCGAACGAAAATGCCAGAGATCCAAGATCATATGGAAGCCAAAAAGAGTCGTGTGCTAAACTTGCGCCAAATCAAGTGACGCAAGAGATAAAGTCGGGGGGTATTATATAGAGGGGTTATGTGGGGGAATTCCTAAACTTGATTTCGCCAGCTGCGCGTGGGCCACCGAAAAAAGATACAAAAACAAACGGAGGAAAAATAACACTCAAGAGCTTGGAGAGATCGCTGATCTCGATTTCGTTCGAAATAGTTGAGTTTTTTTGCTTGTCTCGGCATTGCAAAAGTTTTCCATAAATGCGAAAAGTGTAAAAAACAATACTTTACCGATTAACATAAAATTCAGCTTTACATGAAAACAGTCTCTGACTGCTACTTTAATTAAGAATAATGTCTTGAATAACTTTTCTTGTGTAGCTTTGGATTTGATTTATATTAATTTAGTTTTCGCAGATCTGCCAAGTAGATTTCTTAGGAAATAGTTAAGACAAGCTTCAGAAGTTAAATAAATAGCATAAATGTGAAGCAATAAATCTGAAGCATTTATATTTGGTCATTCGAAGATTCGTTTGAAAAGTTAAACGCTTAAACCTCTCAGTTAGATTGATGTCTTACTTTTAGGACCCACAGAGGGTAGAAGTTTTTCCATAAACAAAACGTGGAAATTTGAAACTATAAATTCAAACCATAGTGTTTGACTTTCAAAGCCGTTAGCATGAAGTCAAGATTTGCTTGAAAATTATAGCTTTTAAATGCTTTATCTGTCAAATAGATTCGTATATGGTTGTTTCTTTAATTAGGAACAATTTGTTGCATAATCAGTTGCATTTTTAGGATACTTTATCTGCTGCAAAAGTTCTCCATAAATGCCAAAAATGTGAGACTATAAATTCAAGGCATGGAGCTAATTTTTGGCCAGTCAAGGCGATTTGCATAATACTCAGCTTTGCATGGAAATTAACGCATTTGAATGTTCAATCTGTCAAAAGCTCTACGACTTTGGCTATTTCTTTAATTAAGAATAATTTGTTGAATAACTTTTTGTGCCTGCATTTGACTAATTAAGTTTATGCAAATTGCGCAAGCGTAGGCGAAAGTTTTATGACGCCGGAAAAAAAGAGCGTTTGACATATTTTATGAGTTTTTAAGTCGCCGACAAATTGACGATGGATATTCTGTGGAAATAAAAATTGAAACATTTAAGCGAAGCAACTATAAATAAACATCCTCAGAAGTCATAAAACAAAGGCGGGCCCTTCTTCTTGTTTTCTTATTCTCCCCCCATTGTTTTCATTTTGTGACTCCCTTTTCCAGTGCACAGGAAACAATTTTGAAGCCCAATGTACATGAATTAATAAGTAATGGTTTTTATTATTAGTGTTTATCAACTTTAGTAACTCTTTTTAAATTTGTAAAGAAATTATCTTTCAGGCAATAATGTAAAATGTAAAATTCTGATAAGAACATTTTTTGGGGCCTATTGGGATGAATTTCTCTCCGTGCGTGTGTGTGTGTGGGGAATGACATGGAGCGCAACTGTTTCTGCAAGACAAAGAAGGAGAAGAACAAGAAGAAGAAGGAAGAAGAGGAGCGGAATAAGGAGCAAAACAGAGGGAAGTCGTTGAAATTAAATACGGTTTGTAACCAGAAATTCCGCAACTAAAAATAAACAAATGAGAGAAAAGAAGCGCAAAGCACGCGACGCACAAAAGAGGGTGAAATTGTACCCACAAAGAGCTGAATTTAACAACAATACTCGTACATATAATATTCTTGGCCTCGCCAGCGATTTTTTATTGAGGAAATAGTGCAAATAGAATTGTGATTTCTGCATATTTGCATAAATTGCGGCCACTCGGAGAATTGCAAGACGAAGAAAAGCGATAAATAATGCAAAAACAACGATAGCAAAGTTATCACAAGAAACCCACACACACATCTACACACAGAACCTAAGACAACAAAAGAAAAACAAAAGTCGTTTGCTTTTGTTTTGTTTTGGTTTCTTTTTTTAACCCAATCTCTGTGTCTGTGTCTCTCTCCCTCTTTTTCTCCCGATCGCAGTTGCATTTTGCGATCAACGGTTCTTTGGTTGGGGCATATTTCCTGCTCGCTCGCACCTACTCATAAAGGCTCTGCAAAACCAGTTATTAAAAACCATAAAAAGGAGAACCGTTTAACTGTTTAAGGAGTCCCATGTTGGCTTTTTTCGCCAGGTGGTTAAAACTCCGCCAGCTGTTGAGAAAAAAAAAAGTATTTTCGTATTTGTGTATTTTCGCATTTCTGCAATTTGCAATTGTTTTTTTTTTGTCGGGGTTTCCTTTTTGCTGCTGTCCTGCTTCTGCGCAGAGGGAGTGAGTAGGACGGCAGGACACGAACTCACTTACACACCCTTAAAAATGCCGCTACTCCAAATGCAATTTCTTTTTTACCGTTGTATTTGCACTAAAATCTGCTTAAATTATGGCGAATTTCGATTAAAATATTTGCTTGCACCCTGTACCATATAGCTCACATCCCCACCCCTCTTTATTTTCATATTTTGTTCAACTCCGGCGCAGCTTCATTTTGCTCTCTATATACAGCTTCTTTACTGTTTTTTTTTTTTATAAAATTTCTTTGCGCAAAAGGAGTGGCGTTGTCCAGGATTTTTTCACACATACACATGGACCTCATATACGTATAGTCGGCGTCTTTTTTCGCATTTGCATTTGCACTATGTTTTGTACTTTTTTCCGGCACTTTTGCTTTTTGCAAAACTCTTATTAACACTCTTCTTCATGGGATTTACCTTTGAAAAGCTTATTGTTTAGCCTTTTCGGTATACACAATTCCTTTTCTTTTTAATATTTGCGACCCGAGACACTCGAATTTATCCAATTTCGAACAACGCGATTCGTTTTGTTAATAAAAACACTCGATTATCGAATAAGTTTAAGTCTCGCGGCAACTTACACTTATTGTTGATATTTTATTTTGCAGCGGCAAAACTCGCGACGAAAACGCGTCCGATTCGCTTGGATTTTGAGAATACATAGACGCAGACGTGAGAAACATATAGAGACTACTCCGTTTGCTCTGCCGACGCCGGTGTTCGAAGGTGTGGGGAGAATGTCAGCTGTTCGAACATGTGCGAGTGACCAGCAATAGGACGCAACTGCCGTAAGATATGCGTTTGAGGGAATGGTACAGATAGTGAAGTTTGGATTTAATTTATTGGGCGGGCGTTTGTACAGTTTTATAAGAACGCTTAAATATTTGTGATACAAATACACGCTATAAAATAAGATATGTATTTCATACTGTTCAAGTTTTTCGTTTTGATTTTTTACTTAGTCGAGTATGCAATATTTAACATCGTTAGGGAGGGTCACACTGCACCTATCAAAATATATCGAATACTTTCAGTGAGCGGGAACTTTAAAAATGTTAGTTCGCAGTAAGCTTTTAAAAAGGCTTAAATGGTCTAATATATAGCTATGGTTTATACAACATTCTTTTAATAATGATTTTTTAACGAGTTTAACTTATAACTTATAACTAATTCTTAGCATAGAGATTAAATTGACTTGATAACAAGGCTTCTTAATACAAAGGGTTAGCAATGACTCGAACCAATGCAAGTCCGATAAGAAAGTATACACTGACGAAAAAGGGAGTTTTTATTATTAATTCCTAGATATCAATCAATAATTTCCATCTATTACGTTTAACAGAAGAAGAATCCAGAATTGTCAAGTTCCACTATCCCAGCAATTAATAAAACTCAAATACTTATTTTTTTGTATTTTTTTTTTAATTTTGAGATTATATATATATAATAATTAGATTTACATTCATTTCTGTATCATTTTACTTGTTTTATTTTAGAAATAAAGTAAGCATTTATTACTAATTCTTTTATTCTTTTTTTGTTGTTTTAGATGTGCAGTTTAGTGCACTTTTGTTTACCATTTTGCTTCGATGAACATTATTAAATACGGGGGCGTACAATCATTTTATAACACAAAAACAAACAATATTTTAATTATACTTCTTAATGAGACATTTTTTTAAGTGTGGAGGGTCTGTGGTAGTGTGTGTGGAAGAGGATTGGGACGAAATCACGCAAACAACTCAAAATAAGGCAGAATTAGTGTTCCATTTTGGGGTTTTTAGGGGGTTCTTCTTAAGGGGGTTTTCTTAGTGTGCGCCAGTTGGGGAAATGTTTCTATATCCTCTCGATATAGAGATATATTGCAACGTGACCACTTTTGATATTGAAGCTATTTGAATGAAAACACAAAGGAAATGCACACAGTACAACAAGCGGAGATGGTTCGTTAATGGTTATCAATTTTAACATGCTACGATTTATAGAATTTTGGTTTAATTTCCCTCCTCGACTCGTTCACATACATCGTTTGTTTTTTATGTTTTCATCGTCATCGTCATCATCATCATCATAATTCTCTCTTTCTTGGCTCTGTATAAAAGTTCAGTAAAAAATGCAGCTTAACTAGGTTCTCGTTTTTGTAATTCCCTCCAATTTCGTTTTAAGTAAGGTAGCTCTACCTCCTCGGAAACGTCATGGTGCGTTTGTTTAATTATTTCTCGTTATTAGATATCCTCAATTGTTGCAAGCTTGCTTGGGTTTGTGTTTTGCTTTCGGCTTTATTTTACATTAATCAATTATTTACTCATTTATCACTTAGTTTTTACAATGGCGTTTTATGTGGGTTTTGTTTTGTTTTGTTTGCTTTGCTTCGCTTCGATTTCCATTCTCATTTCCATTCTCCATTTCCATTTCCATATCCATAAAATGAGCGCGCAGACAATAATTTATGTATAAACTTGCTTGGGCTCTCTCCACTAACATGTAATCTTCGGAAACGCACAAATAAATTCTATTTGATAATATCAAGAACAAAAACTAACTGCATATACTTTCTTCTATATATATATCTGTATATCTGTATATATATACGATGTCCTTCTGCTTCTCGTGTGGAAAATTCGATATACTCGTATATTTTTTGTGGCTTTCTGCTGCTGCGCTGCTGGCTTTCAACTTAAGTTTAACTTGTAAGCGAAATCAAACACAATCGTGAAACGACATTTGAAATGAATCTGAATCTGAATCGTGTGTGTGTGTGTGGTGTGGTGTGTGCTGGGTGTTATGTAACGTCAATATACATACATCGAAAGGATGGAGGATGCGAATTGCTTTAATTGCGGTTGCTTCCGTTTTCTGACCAGATCTGACAAAAAACCTCGACGAGTGAGCTTGAAATGTTCCTCTCTAAATATTAAGTAGATTATTTATATATATATCTATATATATATATATCTTTAATATATATATAGGCTCGTTTTGATCGAGTTTTCTTAGCACATTTACTAATTGAAACGTTGTCGTGGTGAATTTTCATAAGCACAAGTTCATGATCTCGGGTTGTTGAGTGTGTGTTGTGGTGTGTCTGTTTTTAGGATATCTCACTTAATCGTTATGCTCCACTCTTCACTTAAATCACCTAATTATCTTTTATGTGTTCGCTTTAGATACTTTCTTTTTCGTTTTGCTTGTGTGTGGTAAAATAAGAAGAAAATGTTTTCATGGGTTGATTTTGTTTTGTTTTGTTTTGTTTTGTTTTGTTTTGTTGCCGGTTGAGCAAATCGAGGCTGTCTGCCAAGATCATCGATCGTCGTTATCGATTGGTTTGGATTGGTATTGGGATTACCAATTGGCCATGCCCGGCTTGTTGAGCGTCATAAAGTAGATTTGACACGATGAAGCACCTTTGGCACTGCTGAAGAATACTTTGTCGTTGCGCTCGCAAAGGAATTTCAAGCGCTGCGCCTTTTTGTGCATGAACACACCATCCAAATGGCCGCTCTCAACGGAACGTATCTGAAAGTTAGGAAAAAAACCATTAATTATACTATATAGAAGGGAAAAAAAATCATCACTCACCTCTATTGCTTTGTTGCCCCAGCCCATGATTTGTCCAGTGCCAATGTAGGCCACCGAGGTGGGCATCTCGCCCCACTAAAACAGTTTAAAAGGTAATATTAACTAATTAATTAGATAGGAGAAATCCTTATAGACTTGCCTGCAGCACAATGTTCTTGGAAACCCGGCCGGCAGTGTTCACATAGACACCCTCATTGTCGTAGCACAGCAGCAGTTGCATGCCATTGGAGTTCGGAAGCGCCACAATACAATGCGGAATGATTGCACCCTGAGTCTGAAGATATACAAATTAGTTAGTTCAATCATTTGAGACACTCTCAATCGAGCCAACTTACATGCTTGGGAAGATAGATATCGTATACTTCAGCTGAATCTAAATCAACCGCATGGAAACCCTCGGCGGAGCCATAGATCACCTTCAGTCTCGACTGATCCTCAATGGTGAGATCGACCAAAAGGGGGCGATGTTCCAGTTCACCAAAATTCTACAAAATTAAATATTAAAGAATGCTCATTTAATGTTAAAAATATATTAAGACCCACCTTAAATGCCATAAATTTGTGATATGGTTTGGGAGCCCATGCATAAATTTCAATAGAGTCTTTTAATGCAATCACTAGGAACTTAATCCTCTCGTATTTGACAATCTTAAAATGTACAGCACCTTGTAGATCACCCACGTTAATCCAGCCATTGCGACGCTCCACTTGCTATAAATGGGAATTAGATGAAGTTAGCAAGTGATTCGTAGAATAAGCTACTCCAAACTCACATCAGAGAGTCCATCGGTGCGCAAGATCTTCGACTTGAGCCAGGACAAGTAGTAGACGCGCACTCGGTTCTTCTTGCCGGATATGGTGACCAATATGTTCTGGCCCTCGAGCACCTCCATTTGCTGGAAACGACGACGCGAGATGAGCTGGTAGACCTGTTGACGGATACAAGAATATTAGATACATTGATAAATTGAGGAATACAATCTACTCACCTTGCCCTGACCAGATCGGTCCAGTAGCATTAAACCATTCTCCGTTCCGATCAGCAGGTTGACGCCCCACAGCGCTGCGCACAGGATCTCCGAGTTGAATCGCTTCTTATACTTACGGATCTCGGGCGTATCGTTGGCCGCCTCGTGGGAGGTGGGCGTTACATTGACATTGACATGAGACTCCCGACGCGAAGGTCCAGAGCCGCCGGCACCAAAGCCAAAGGTCAGGAAACTGCGCTGCTTCTGTTGCAGGGCATAGGCGTGCGGTGGCAAGGGATTGGAGATCGAGGCCGAGGATGTAGAGGAACAGGGCGTCAGGTGGTGTAGGTTCGCAGAGGAGGAAGAAGCAGATTTGTGCAAGAGATTAGTAATACTGCTGGAGGAGCGCGTCTTGCTGATCGAATTCTTGGGCGAATTCTGGCGCGAATTCGAGGACGAGGAGGCGAGCGATATCGTCGATTGGGGCGAGTGATTGCTGCTGATAATCACGCCGCCCACAACGGTACCGCCCCCCAAACCAAGACCGCCGCCGCCGCTTCCGCTGCTAGCGATAAACGATTTCGATGGCGTGGAATGCACGGATGAGCTAATGGCCGCCTGATACTGGTTAATCGATTACACGATTCGATTATTTCGATTGTTTATAATTTACATTTGATTTCATTATTTGTCATCGTTTGTTTAATTGATTTATTTATATATTTAATTATCGATATTTATCGATTATTTCGATAGTTTGGATTTGGGGTTTTCATTGTTTTTATTTTATAGAGAGAAAAGAAAAATAGAAAAAGTGCAAGAAAAAATTTCAATTAGTCTTTAGATGTCAACTAAAAATAAATAACATAAATAATTTACACATGCAAGGTTTGGGTGTGTGTGTGTGTTTGTTTCGGTTTCAGTGGGCATATAGAGCATTATAGTAGTGTCGTGGGTGGGTGCACGGGAGTGTTAGGTACACTCAGACAAGGTTAACAGTGGCGAGAAAAGGCGGAAATGTGTTAGGAAAACAAAAACAAATAAAAAATAGAAATGTGATTAGTCTTTCCCCAGAGGCCAATGGTAAAAATAAGGAAAAATGTTTAAAAAATAATTTGTGTATTCTTGTATTTGGATAAACTTAAGGGAAGCCTTTCTTCCAGTGTATTTTGTATGTATGTATGTATGTGAATGTGTGTGATTTACAGAAGACGAAACGTTAGCGACACAAGACTGGCTGCTATACAACGCAGAAGAGAGTGGAGCGTATGAGAAGTTCCACGATTAAAATTTGTAAAAAAGTAAGGAATAAATATATATTTTATTTACAGAGAAAAACTGAAAGACATTCCTAGTGCTGGGTAGTAGTTGTACAGAAAATGTGTGAAAATTATCTTCTAGATTTCCATATCCATTAAAGAAATCACATACAGACTAAATGGCACATTGTGAAAATGTGATGAAAAATCATAAGGTGGAAGAAAAATAAAACTGTACACAAAAATATTTTCTGGTTTTTTTGGTAGTTGTTTTGGGTTTTGTTTGTTTTTTTTTTATAAGAGAGCAAATTATACAAAATAAGAGCTTTTGTCGGTTTTTATTTTTGGGGACTATTCATTCATACTTACTATTGTAATGTTTTGTTTGTTTGTTTTTTTGATTGGTAATTTGTAATTTGTTAGAATATATCGTAGTGGCCATCAGCTCAAACGTTGCGGAAAGACAAAGCACAATTAAGAAGAAGAAATTTGTTTAAAACGATTTTGGTTCTCAACTTTTTGTGGTTCATGTTGGTAAATCAATTTTACTAAAGGTCATGCACATGGCGAGAGCTTCATACGAGCATGCAAATAATCTTGTTTATTTTTGAATTTTTCGACCAATTCATTGCTTTTTACCCTCTTCATAATGAACTTTGCTCCACGTCATGGAAATATGTTTATGCTAGAGATGTTCTTTATCTTACGGATTAGTCACATTTATATTTTTGGGTTAGAAAAAAGGGCTTAGAATGACAAAATAAATAAATAATCAAATTGAATTTATATTGGACTAAAGAGAATGCCTTCAAAAATGTTGTTTGGCAGTTGAAAAAGTAACTTCTCATGTTAGTAACTGATTCACTCGTTTATTAAACACAACTCAAGGTGGAATTTTGATATTAATGACTGGTAATGCGTTTTCTTTTTATGATTCTGTTATCAAACCGGAAGAACTTCAAGTTTTATTGACCTAACCATGAATCCTAGCCAAGATAATGGGTATGAATCGGCCTGAACGGCTGACAGAACGATACAACGAAATATATATTATCACAGTAAATAAACTCAACGTGGACACAAGGGTTACGAACAAAAAAAATATATAAAAAAAACACAATGAAAAATCGATTAAAACGAAAAACACAAGAGGACGAAAGTGGAGTATTTATGGGGCATATTACTCACCTCCTCACTGGATGATTTATCATGGCGTGGCGGGGTTGCCGGCGACGCCTGGCTGAGTAGATCCGGCAGGACGCTGCTGGTCCTTGTCCCAGGAGTTCCCAGTCCAGTGCCATCGGCACCTACGCCGCCACCGCTACTGCCACCGCCTCCTCCGCCGCCGCCTCCTCGATTCTGTATGAGGGAAATACACAAAGATTTAGCTTAAGAAACAAATCTGAGTTTATAAACATTTGTAATGGAATTAGAAAGAGAGATAGAATGGGGGGGTTATAGAATACATGTCTTGGGGGGAAAGTAAAGAGTAAAGAGTAAGAGTAAGAGTAAGGGAAAACAGAAATAACAACGAAATGAGTCAAAGAACGTACATAAGAGAGATTCAAGAGCAGCAGCACAAAATAAATGAATGCCAATGAGACACTTTGAGGTTGCCTAAGGATGACCCCTCCACTACTAAGCCTCGAATTTTAGCCGCATATGGACATTTAGATACAGATTTACATATATATATATATATATATATATTAAGATAGAATTGTGGGTGCTGGGGGTGTATGTGTATCCTTTGGTTTACAGAGCTTACAGACTATAACATTTAGGTATCGCGAGTCCTCTAAGTCCGCTTCAAAATTGTTTTAAGGCTAACACTTAAACTAAATAAGCAACATCTCAGTTTCAGCGCAGCAGGCAAAACGTGGCTCAGGTTGCAGAAACAATCGCTCAGGTGAGGAGGGGGCGGTGTATTATTTATATTTATTTCTTAATTAACTTTTCCTCTTGCTAACCAAACCAGCAAACCTTCCGAGGAGTTTGTCTTTGTACAGAGAAAAGCTTTAAAACAATTTTGAGCGAAAGCAATAGAGTTTACAGATGATACATATAGCTAGCAGCATTCTAATTTAGAGAGTGGTTAAACGAGGCAGCAAGAGACTTGGCAATAAATTTAGAAATTATAAATTAATAAGAATCTAACAGAAAAGTTAAAAAATTTAAGATAATTCCTACTATTTAGTTAACTATTTACAAACCCATTAAAACCAAATATTTCAAATTCCTTCAATTTAATTTTAAACAAATAGGTTTTGATTTTACTGTCTTTAAACGTCCACTAAGAGCTGCCTCAAATGCAATCGTTAAACTTTAATCGACACCGCATTATTAACATTTGAACAGAAAGTTTAGGATAGCTTCAACCTGCACTACGGGTATTAACTCGATCTCATTAGCATTCGATACTTTTGCCTCTTTTTACTATCTTTTGGGGCCAGAGTTATATACAGATTAGATTACCGGTTATTTGCATTTGTTAATCAGAGTTCTTAGGCGTATTAGATAGTCTTAATTAGGGTTGCGGTTAGCTTAAGTCCTAGAATGGCGTGGGCTCTGATTGATTATAATAGATTTATAAACAAAACAAATGAGAATGCAATAAACAATTGATTAAAAAACCAAATAAAACCAAACATGCTCAAGCAATGAAAATATACAAAATGCTTCCCTAAATGCTTCTTTTTACATATCCAGCTGTTTTTTTTTTTATTGATTAGCAACAATGGGTTGTGTGTTGTTTTAATTTATTATTTACGAGCTATTAGTTTAAAGTGCATGTGTGTGTGTTTGCGTGTGTGTGTGGATGTGGTGAGTATGGAAGTAGCGAGCCAAATGGTAAATTTCAGCCTTGTTTTTTGGGTAGTTTGGGTTTGGTTTACGTTTCTGGCGCCAAGACAAAACACAATTAAATGGGAAAAATATTTTTGCAATATTTTTTTAAGTTTTTGGTGAGTTATGTTCGCAGCATTTTTGAATAAATGTTTGCCTCTCTGTTGATTTTTGTTGTTGTTTTGTGCGAGCTGAGAACGTTTACCTGCTGCTGCTGCAGTTGCTGTTGCTGTTGCTGCTGCTGCTGTTGTTGCAGTTGTTGCTGCTGCCTTTGGGCGCGAACGGCAGCATTTTGCAGCACAATGACGGATTCAGTCTTTTCGCGACGCGGTCGCAGGAAATTGAAGTTGGCCAGGGACTTGGAGGGCTTCGGAGCAGCTCCTTTGGTGGCAGTGGAGGCGGCTGCAGTTGTCCCTGGCTTACCACTGGCCGTGGTTCCTGCTGCAGTTGCTCCTGGCAGTGCATTCTCCTTGCTCTTGCTGCTGATGCTGCTGTTGTAAATGCTGTTCCTTTGGTACACGGCACTTGCCCTTTGGGCCTGGATGGACTGCGTCGAGGGGACCACCGATCCTGGTGTGGGTCCAGATGCCCCAGAACCACTCAGCACAGCCGAGTGCCTCTTGGTGAGGGGGAAGAAATCCGAATTCTCTCGTCTAAAACCACGCACAAAGTTCATTGGCAGCCGGGAATCTGATTCCTGACGTTTGTGCGCCGTGGAGTTGGAGCTACCACTGCTTCCACTACCCGTTCCTGATCCTTGTTCTTTGGCAATACTTTGGCTGGCACTTGGTTCGGCCTTCAGCGGCTGATAACCCCTGGGCACGGGTCTCGTGATGGCCTCCGCCACACTGGCCCTCTGGAGTTTCGTCTCCACCTTCAGAGTACTCAGCTGAGAGCTCCGACTGAGACTGGCAGTGGTGGTGGGACTACCTCGTCCACTGCCCCTCGGACCGTTGGCGTTCTTGGGAAAGAAATGATCAAAGCCCCAATCTCTCACCAAATTGGATTCATCGACAGGGCGACGCGACGGCGTCACATTGGCCTGCGATGTGGAGGCGGACTTTTGCAGGCGGTTTATGTTCTGGTCTAGATTCTATTTTTGGGGAATATCAGGTTCAGGTTCAGGTTCAGGGAGTAGTAGTAGTAGTAGTTGTTGTTGTTGTTGTTGTGGTGAGTACGCAGCAAGAGAAGAATGGTGTTAGGTTGTTCTGTTTTTTAATACTTAGAGGCTTCTAAATATCGATTAAAAGAGAGCTTTCTTCTTTCCCCACCCACCACAGCATGGAAAGTTTTTCATGAATTCTGTTCTTCATTCCAGTCGGTAATTAGATATATATATAGCATCCAGAGTAAATCGAAAGATATATATATATGGGGTGTGTGTGCAAATGTGCATATAGTCATGTATGTACAATATCTCGATCGTGTCAACTTTCTATGCACCAGTGCACTAATGTTTAGATAGATGCAACATCACACATGGCTCAATCAAAAATATACAAAAAAAGGAAAAGTTCGTAACGGAAATTTTGGAAATCAATTTGTACAAAGAAAGGAAAATTCACGAAAAAGATTTCACACTGTTTACGCCATTAAGTTACTATAAAAAATATGTAAAAAAAAATCATATAAATTTAGTAGGAAAATCAAATCATATTTAAGGCTAACTCTTTGATTTAGAGAACCACAACCAGGTTGAACTTAGTTTATATTACTCTGTTTCGGATTTGGTTAAGATTGTCTTTGGATTGAGTTATCCTTTTTGTTGTTGGGTTGGCAGACCTTTAACCCTACAAAAGCTAGTTTACACTTTTTGTACAGTAATCATGATCCTAAAAGCTCCTGCTGACCTAACCCTCACTGATTGCATCTCATAGGTAAAATCAAAAACTAAAAACTAAACTAAACAAAGATTCGTACTCGTATATAAGGATATAGAAGTTGATATCTGAGGGAAATGTTAACGCAACTTACGCGCTTCATGATCAAAGTACGATCTCCGGCCTGGTCGTCGTCGTCGGGCGTGGGTGGCAGTGGGCGGTTGGGCGGCCCACCGCTGCCATGACTCAAGGGCGTTGTCGTGTTGGCGTCCTCCGAGACGGGTCCCAAACCGGGCCTATATGAAAATTCGGGTCTAAACATAACGAAAAACCAAAAAAGCCAAAAACAAATCCAAAACGAAAAAAAGGGGCGGCAAATTGTGGTTGACAATGGAAATGAAATGGGAGTGGTTTGGGTGTAGTGGGAGGGTGTAGGTAGGTGGATGGGTGGGTAATCAATGGAGTGTTTAAATAAGTGAGAGACAAGAATGTTGTGAAGTCGGGTTAGTATTCAGAGAGAGATGATGTGTTCTTGCTTATCAGGGACTGCAATTGATTTTAGTTTACATTATCGTAATCACTATCATTAGTTAGTTTAAGATCATAATCATTATCACTATCATTAGTGATTAGTTTAAGATCATAAAAATCTAATAAAAATCTGAATTAAAAAAGAATCCTTAAAGTTTTCATTCCAAATTGCAGTCCCTGTCTTCTAAATTGTGATCTACGACGTTGCATCTTCGATTTGTGGAATTTTTTGGTTGCAAACTGCCACGCCCCTTCTTTGCGGTTGTACTTACAGCGGTTTGGGTGGATCGCTGGCCAGCAAAGTTCCATCATTTCTGGCCCGATCGTTCGGCTCATCTGGCTCGCTATCCGAATCGCTGCTGTCCAAGGGGTCCAGCGGATTCACCGGCTGTCCCAGATGATTGTTCGACTGCTGAGGCAGAGCGGCGGCCGGCTTAGACGAACCGCCTCCTGATGCCGATCCGCCGGATGAGGACAGACCGCTCGACTGGCGATTGTTGCGAGGCGGAGCCTCCGGCTGCGCCTGCTGCTGGGATCCCTGGCCACCGGCGGCCGTCTGCGGCTGTGGCTGTTGGGAGAAGACCACGCCCAATTCACTTAATTGTGCTGCTAACACATCCAAATGATCCTACAGTTTTACAATACATTTGTTTTCGTTTCAGGGGTCAGGAGGATTTCAGTGTGTGTGTGTGGTGTGTGTTTGGTGTGTGTTTGGTGTGTGTTTTTGTATATATTTTTGTGTGTTGTGTGTAGTTTGTTGTGTGTTGGATTGCACATGACACCACAGTTGTTTCGGGTTTTCAGTTTTCAGTTTTCGGTTTTTATCGAGGGAATGGGAACGAAAAGTAAGAGAGCATTAGATTGGTTTTCCTCCGGTACAGTACTTATAGATAAAAACGATCAAAACGAACGCCAGGCGGAAAAGCTGTCTTGGGATCCAGCAGAGCATTACATAGAATCGGTTAGAAAAGCTCGGTGGTTAGTCTTTATCTACGTTAGTTGGTTGTATTAATTTCCACTTCGGCACTTTATTCTCCCCCGAAACAGCATTAGAAACGCATCAATCACGCAGTGGGGGGAAACTCTATGCTCCAGGTATGTCAATCTACTTTTGGGGGTGTTAGTCAATCGGTTGAGTTATGGAATCATTAGGCTGAGGAAGTTTTGTTAACAAGTGGCACGTGCAAAGGGGGGTGTTGATTTTGGTTTTCGAGAGTTACGAGGCGGTTTTTGTGTACCTCCATTACGGTAATTTCGACTGAGGTCCGAAATGGGGCAACAACTTTAGGGGGTTACACAGATGGAAAACAATCGATGTAGAGTGCCTTGCAGGACTTTTACGTAATGCAGATCTAAATTATATAACCAATATATATATTTTAGTTCTGCAATGCACTCTATACTCGCATTCAATGTATGCAAACTTTATAGGAAAATCAAGCAGAAATCAAAACAGAAAAGATGCGACAGGCTTGAACTGAAAATCGTAGGACATACCTCAGGTCTCCTTGGTGGTAACTATTGTTGTTGTAGTCATGATTGTTGTTGTGTTATATATTATATATATATATATATATCAAGTGTTTGTTGTAATCGTGTACAGTTCGGAAAATCATACGTTGGTTGGTTTAACGGCGCAACGGGATGATGTACACATGAGTCAAATCATAAATCGCAAGTTACGCACAGTATATACGGGTTATCAATGCATATTGGTTAACGGTATATATATATATATTTATAGATTATGTAGGCGCACATAACATGAAAATAAAAGAGATAAAAATTAGGATAAGATATGGTAATGGTAGCGACTTTTACATGGTATACACAGTATGGATAAAACTCAAAAACCAAACTACTTTCGAGGGCAGGGGGTTACAAAATTACAGGGTATACGGACAGAGCGCATCTTCTTCCAAGTCTAAGCTGGTATTATGCTTTCCCAATACTGGGAGTCATTGCTCTGAAGACCTCCCCTTAAGATCGGATTACCCGATTGCCGCCTTATCGGCCCTGCCCTTTCGCTGTTAATCTACGCCCGATACGCACCGATGGCTTGAAGTTATTCTGCGAGTTGCGCTGCTGCTGCTGCGGCGTCTGTCCCGCCGGCTCGCCGCACTTGGGGGTCGGTGGCAATGGCCGATTGGCGTGCGGCGGATCCGGCACCACGATCAGGCGCTGTGGCGGACGTGCCGGTGGACCTGGCTCCTCAACCTGCTGGCGCTGTTATGATAATTTTGATATAATAACCATAATACTTGGAAGGCCAATATCCTTACCGATGGTGGCTTCGGCTGACGATTGGCCTGTGGCTGCTGTGCCTGTGCCTGCTGCTGGGCTGCTTGCTGCGCCTGTTGCGCTGCATAGGCCGCTGCTGCTGCCGCCGCCGCTGCCTGCTGTTGCTGCTGCTGGAGTTGCGCCTGAGCCTGGGCGGCAGCATGGGCAGCGGCTGCCTGGGCTTGGGCCTGGGCCATCAGATGATGCTGCTGCTGTTGCTGCTCGGCAGCCAGGCGACCCTCCTGGATCTGCTGGAAGTTGCGGCGCAAAGTATCGCCGCCCGGTGCCTGGACAATGGAGCTGTGCTCACCGGCCAGCTGCGGCTCATCGTCATCGTTGTCGGAGCCCGAGTAGCGGTAGTCCTCGCGCTCCTTCTCCTGCTTACGCTTCTTGCAGCGATCGATGTGATCCTTCAGCTGGATGCGCACCTGGCGATCTGTGGGCTGGTCCTTGATGAAGGCGTGCTTCAGCAGGTTCTCGGTGTAAGGCCGCTGGTGATAGTCCTTAACTGTGGGTGATATATGGTCGTTAGTTATGGTTATTATGGGATTAGGATAAGTGGATGAGATGACTCGAAGAGTACACACCGCACCTTCTCCATTAACTCTTTTGCAAAGCAGCTTAAAAGCCGATGACTCACCTAGCACCGTGTCAATAAAGCCGTGGAACTTCTTGGACCACTTCTTCGATTTGAGCCTGGGTGGCGAGTTGCGCGGAATCAGGAAGAGGGCTCGCATCGGATGCAGATCGCAGAGCGGGGGCTGTGACTCAGCCATCTCCAGGGCGGTGATGCCCAGCGACCACAGATCGGAGCGATTGTCGTACGTGGCGTCGGGATTCTCGTCGCAGGCAATGACCTCGGGGGCCATCCAGTAGGGAGTACCTATGGTGAGAGGGGGAAAGGAAAAGACCAGTTTAGCAGGTAGGTTTGACATGTGCCTGTGACTCATAGCTTACCGATGAATGTGTTGCGCCGGCCTATCGTGCGATCCAGCTGGGCGGAGACACCAAAGTCCACCAGCTTCACCTCGGCGTTGTCTGTGAGGAGCACATTCTGCCCCTTGATGTCACGATGGATGACTTTGTTCGAATGCAGATAGCTCAGGCCCCGCAGGATCTCGCGGCATATATAGGCTATCCACTCTTCCTTCAGGCTCTGACCCTTGGTGGACTTGACCAGATCCGTCACTGATCCAGCACCACAGTACTCCATAACCAGCCACAACTGATCATCCTTCCCGGGCGGCGACTTCTTGATGAAGGCTCCGTAGTAGGTGGCAATGTTGCGGTGATTCGAGTATTTCTTTAGCACATTGATCTCCAGCTTGATCTCCTCCTCTTCGTCCTCGGTGACGTCCATCACCTTTATGGCAGCCAATTGACCAGTCTTCGTGTGACGGCCCTGGAAGAGGAAAAGAGGGGAGTTTGAGGTGAGTAATCTTTAGGTTTAAGGTAATATTTTCTGGTTAAGCTCTACTAATAAGAAAGAGTTCTTTAGTTGTGTTTGTAAGTTAAAGTTTTATTTTGATTTGAGATATAGGCTTTGACTTTCTAGAGGACCTCCGTTGAATGTTTTTAATATTAATAAGGTTCATTTTTGTTAAATATAGAAAATGACACATTTTGTCTTTCCTTATCAGTCTTATAAATACACATTTCATGAAAGCATACTATCTGGTCTTGAAATTTTTGTTTCATTTAGTTGCCAACTGAGTAACATGACTTAGACTGTCGTAGACTCCTAATGGTTATCATCATAAGCAAAAACCAAAAAGAGAAAGATAAATTTACAAGGCAGTGAACTAATAAATCAAATATTTGAAAAATAATGAGAAGTCTTTCTTTAAATAATTTCAAATACCGCAAATCATTCTGTTCTTGTATTGTCTTTCTTCTGAATTTACTAGAAAACCAAATGCGGAAATCGTCGTTCTTTATGAATATTTTAAAAACATTTCAAAAGCACAGAACCACTCGAGTTTTAAGAATCTAACCGAGTTGGTCGTGAGCATTGGCAATGATCGAGGTCAGAGCCGGGTTGGCGGTTCCAGAACTCGGTTCATTACGGCATTGAGGCGCTGTTTAAATGCACTTCAGCACCCTCCATTATGCTGTTGACGACAACAAGACGATGACGCTGACGACGACCATGGAGGCGTTGGCTAGTGCATCGCTATATATATATACATGTATATTCCATATATTTTATATAGTCTGTGGGTCTGGAGCTGCCTCAGCCCCCGGCAGGCGTCAACAAACTGCGACACATAAAAAGTGATTAAGTAAACAAAAGCAGCCGCAACAGCATCATCGGCATCGACTCCAATGGAATCAAACAATAGAACGCACCGTGGAGAGGAGAGCAAGTGGAGGGCAGAGAACTCTGTCTGGAGAGGAGCATCAACCTCGAGTGGGGTAATGTGTCTGCTCAATCAGAGTGTCAAGTAGTTAAGGTAAACATGCCACAAATATCTATTCAAGAGCGCCACAAAGGTGACTAATTTAAGACCTCGACGAAGGGTGACTAAAAAAAAGGTTGAGGCACTGAAAGAAACTCAGTTTAACCCTGAAGTATGTCTATTAAACTTGGTTTTAGTTAGCTAAAAGGACGTTAACCTTACAGAAAACTATACTTTCCAAGATGAAACAGTCTTGATTAACAACTCAACTCTCTAATTTGTGGCAGCCCTTAATGCCAAACTCTTGCCAAGATTCAAGAGCTCCAATTAAAGTTTTCAAGTCACGTTGCATCTTTGGCGTTTAGTGCTGGTGTTTAGCTCAGAGCCCAACTAGTTTCAATTAGCCCGCCTGCCACTTTAATCAAACTCGCAAATTGTTTTTTATTCTCTTCTGCCCCCCTCCCTACTGCTGGCCAAGATTGAGTTGTCCTGACCAACCGGTTGCTGGCTTTTTAGCGAGAGCTTCCAGCATCTCTGTCGTGTCGCCTGAGCCGCTTTTAAAGTCATTTTACATTTAATACAGTTTTAATTGAGTGAGCAGGAGCATAAGGCTCTGCCGGCTCCATCCATAAATCAAAATGCTTAACGAGAGATGATAACAATTTAAGTGACGATAGCTAGACGATGCCGATGACGATGACGATGCGGTATACCAAAGCCGTGGCATGAAATGTTGCCCCTCGGCTCTTAGATGTTCTCTTTAAGAGGGTGATTACGATTCGGTTTCTAGTTTGCAATCCACAGGGGAAAACACTTCAGTTTCGCTGATCTATATCTGGAAGAGCCTCGGGCTGATGGCTGTATTTGAAGTCACTTTTAATAGATGATATTTTTGATTTACCTAGAAATAGGATCAGTCTAAAAGAATCTTAAGAAGCTTTATCTCAGTAACTCACTGTAGATCTTACTTCATAATTAAGAAAGGATTATAAATCCAATTTCGATTATAAATCCAATTTCTAAATCTTCAATTTCCCCTCCAAAACTAACACTCCATTATTTCTAGTGTAAAACTCATAGCTCATCCTGCAAAAACCTGTCATTTTCTTTCCGCTTATTGATTAGTTAGACGAGGCGTAACACCATGGCTAGAATCTATCAAAATGTTATTAAAAAATGTGCAGCTGGAGAGCGGGCGGAGCCGGAGAATGTCTTGGCCATCATCGCATCATCATCAGATTCTAACTGTGCTGCAGATTTTATGCAAATTAATGACATGCACTAATGGAGCCTGACTTGTGGCAAAGAACGAAATTGTGCATAGAGAAATCGATTAGACAGGCCAACAAAAAATGTATCTAGCTGAGGGGAGAGTTTAAGGGGGGTTGTGACTTATATCAGGTGTTGTACTTTTACCAGGAAGTTTGTCGTCTTTGATTTTTGTGCTTGTTCGAATATAAAAAACCCCCCCGGAGCTCTCTAGCTATACATTTAAGTAATCGAAGAAGAAAGATGATTGCCGCAATAAATACAAAGAAAAATATTTGTGAATCACTCAGTGCAGGCATTTCTCCACCTCCCATCGGTTTCTTCTTAAAAGCCAAAAAGCAAATAGAGCTAAACAATCCGCAGAAACAAATAAACAAAGCAACCAAGTACGACGACGACGACGACGGCGACAAGCCTTTTGCCATATAAAGCACCGACCGACCCACTGACAGACCCACCGCCAGACCGACCAATTGAAAAAAGAAAAATCGCTGAATTTGTAATATAATCAAAATGTGAAAATGTTTTAAAGGTAAAGTCAACAATGGAATGAAACTCAGTCGACTGCTGCAGCTGGCTGGCTGGCTCCCTGGCTGTCCGTCCAATTTGGTTTTGGATTTGCCTACCTATGCACAAGAGATGGTTTATGATTACCACACCGAGCACGAGTATCTGTCAGATACCGAGTATACTTATAGCCGCAGTCACACTCACAGCAACAGATACGGATACCAGGCAAATAAAATCAAGCGTGAAAAGAAACCCAAACAATAAAACAATCAACTCGATGATATGCCACAAATATACAGATACTTTGGGGCCTAGGGTGGACCTGTCTGGGGCAAAGATTTCTACAATATAGTTTCTTTTTTTTTTTGTTTATAAAGTTAGAAATACATAAACAGATCAAATCGACAACTTTCGGTAGGTTTCAATAGAGCTATCACATGTTTTCTACCTTTATTTCAGTAAGGTAAGGTATTAGGTAAGTTTGAACCTATTTAACCCAAAATTCCTTTAATTTGTTGATTATATAACTTAAATATAGATTATATATTAACACCTCTTTTCCCTGTAAACCTAAAGGTCCGCCCTAAACTGCAACGAAAACTGCATAATCAGGGGAACGGAAAATATTCTCATAAGCATTGTATATACCAGATCGTAAAAAGTATACGTAAGAAAATCATTTGCAATTTCTTGTTTCGGAAACTCTAACCCCACCTCTTCTACCCTTCCCCTCCCTCCCCCTCTCATAAACTATGCAGGTCGTGTAAATTGTCGACGAAAATCCCAGAGCAAAAATGCGCAGAAAAAAAGGCGAAAATTCCCAACAGACGCTGACAGAAAAAATATGATTTCAGTCTGCATGTTGGCTGATAACAGAAGAGGAAAAAATAAAGTATAAAAAATAAATATATATAAACGCAAGTCGGAAACTGAACGTTGCATAAGAGGCAAAAAATGCAGTCAAGTGCCTCCCCAATGAAAATGGCCCCAAAAAGATCAACTTTTGGACATGTTTTTCAAGTTGGCTCAACTTGGCACGCAAATCGCTTGAAACAAAGTGGAGAAAGGGAAATGCTTTAAATATATACTACACTATATATATATATTCATGGAGAAAAGTCAGATAGAGTTAGGAAACAATGTTTGTGATAAGGCCAGAAATCCCACTGATGTTGATGAACCGGAAAAGCATGTGTTCTATAAGAAGTTCGATGGAAAATAAACGAGGAAATGGAAATGTTTTAGTAGATTAGCTAAGAAGTGGAGGAGATATAGGTCGCAAAAGGGAAATGAGAGATCACAGAGAATCCTAAACCTGATCTATTTAGATTCCAGACTTCTCCATTAAGAGCATAAACTAAATAATTTATTAGACTAACATAAACTAGATATTCTTTCCTGACTTTCAAGTTCCACTTCTCACATTTCCATGTAAATCATATCGACAACGACATGGAGCCACCCACCTGCCGATGGTATTGAGTAACCCAAAGAGGTCCCAACCACATCAAGAGCCAAAAGGAAACCAAACCACATTGTACTGCCACTTTTTTCTTCTGCCGCTGCTGCTGGTGGCACCTTTCATTGAGCTTTGTGGGCATATTAATTGTGGCAACTGAATCTTGCAGCTCCCACACAGAGCCGCCGCAAAGGCAATTCAATTACAACACTTGCAAGAGCCACATTTATTCGAATAGAAAACCGCACAGAGCTCCACCACGCCCGTGCGATGCGTCAGGCAAAGTATCATAAGTAAGACCCAGCAAACCAACCCAAAAAAAACCCACCGAGTGCCAACAGCCTCCAGTTTGCCCCACTGGCCCACAGAGTTGGGAACCTCCAGCTCGGTGCAACAGCTGCGTTTGGCCAACTTACGCAACATTTGTGCATAGTTTTCCTCTTGTTTTTCTCATTTTTAGTGATCAGTGTGCAAATTTGTAGACTCCATTTGAAAGGTGATTAGGTGGATTGCCATGGGGGTTAAGAGGGCAGCGGTGATGCGAGGGGAAGGTTAACGCTCATCAATTACCAATTGTTGTTAGTTTCGTTAATTAACCCGGGTAATCAAAGTTTTTGTTGAGCTGCCCGGCGAGTAGTTTGAAAAGTTTTAAGTATAGCCCTCCTCTGAATGGAGAATACAGTAGACAGTCGATAAGACAGGCTAGGATAGTCTTAGAGTTTGTCAGAGAATGCTGGCAAAGATCAACGACACTTTAAAAGTTTC